ATCGCAACCTCCTGATCCACCCTGCTCTGGGCATAACAGGGGGCAGTGCCCCAACTCCCCAATCGGCCCTGCTCTGAGCCCGACCAGGGGCTGCACCTAGGGATTAGGCCTGCCCTCTGCCACCCGGGAGGAAGCCTGAGCCAGCAGGTCGTTATCTCCTGAGGGTTCCCAGACTGCAAGAGGGCACAGGCCAGGCTGAGGGACCCCCCCTCCTCCCGAGTGCACAAATTTCTGTGCACAGGGCCTCTAGTTAAATTATAATTCAAGATCCCCAAAACCAATGATCAATACTCATTCAGTCTTTATCTTACTTGACCTAGTAGCAACAACTGACATGGTACTTTCTCCAACTTGATGCACTTTCCAGATGCCACACTCCCTGCTTCTCTTCTTACTTTACCTGCTGCTGACTCCATGGACCCTGGAGTCCCATAACTCAGCCCTGGGGCCTTTCCTGTCCTCCATCTATACCCACCCAGCTGGCAATCTTATCCAGATTCCTGGCTTTAAAATACATCCAGAGAATTTCAGCTCCCAAACACAGACCATCCTCATTACTCATGGATTCCATATATTTTAATTTGCCTACTCACTAAAGTTTACTTCTAGCCCCCAAATCCATACGTGATGCCTTCGTTGCCATTTGTGGACATGAGCAGAGTGGCTAAACCTTTGAGTTGCCCATGGTGCACATTCCCAGGTGAGGTCAAAGTGGCAATGCTCTGCCCTTTTGTTTTGGCTCTCACACTGTAAACAAGTATTGTTTTCATGATCTAATTTGCGCCACATTTTTCACATTGTGGTGCGTTTTGTTGACTTCACTGTTTCAGATGGGCCCCAATTATAATGCTGAAGTATGGGTAGATTCTTAAGCACAGGAAGGCCTGGATGTGCCTTATGGAGAAAACACATGTGTCTGACCAGGTTTGTTCAGGCACGAGTCATGTGCTGTTGGCCATGAGTTCAATGTTAATAAATCAACAATAATATTAAGGTGTCGTTGAACAGAAACACACATAAAACAAGGGTACGTATCGATCAGCTGCTGAAAATGTGATCAGAGGCCCACAGGATCCTAACCCTGTCTTTCCCTCGGAGCAGTGGCTCAGGCTTCACTAACTCAGTGTTCACGGGACTTCATGGAACTTAACTACCATATGTAACGAGAAGACTGCACAGTTCCAGGCTGGATTTCTCTCCAGAACTCCAGACTCATTCATATTCCAGCAGCCTCCTTGACCTTGCAGACTTTAACAAAACAAAACCCAAACCCCTGATAATATTTCTGCAACTAGCTCCTCCCAGCAGCATCTCAATTCAAGGCAAGTATGCCACTTCAGGTGCTCACACCAAAAATCCTTGGAATTACCCTGGATATCCCTTTCAATTTTTCAAATCTTGATAATACTATCTTCAAATTATATGTGGACTCTGGCAACTTCTCACCACTTCCACTCTGCCAACCTGTACCTTAGAGGGATCCTTGGAAAAGTCAGATCATGCCATGCCTTACCTCAGAACCTTCTAATAGCTTCCTGCCACCTGAGTAAAAGCCACAATTTTGACAATGACCTGTAGTCCTGGTCTGCACCTGCCCTTCCCATTGCTTCTCTGACTTTATCTGCCCTATTTTCCTCTCTGCTCATCCCAGTCTCCATGCCTCAGGGCCTTTGCAGCACCCTTGGAATACTTTTCCTCCAAATAACAGCACGGCCAGCTTCTTCACTTCTGTCAAGTCTTTACCGCATCACCACCGTCTTAGGTGAGAGCTGCCCTCAGCACCATGATTAAAGCTACAACCACCTACACACACACACACACACACACACACACACACACACACGCTCATCTCTTGACTGCTTTATTTATTTCCAGAGTACTTATCACCATCTAAGGTACTAATTAACATGCATAGCTGTTTGCTTATCATCTGTCTCCCTCCCACTCAAATGTAAGTGTCATGAGGGTGGGACCTTTATCTGTTTGTTTTCTTTCTACTGATGTATCCTCAGAGCCTAGAACAGATGGTAGGCACTAAATAAATAATTCCTGAATGGTTGAATAATGTAGTGCTTACCATACATTATTCAATGTACCTGGTTGCCCTCTGTCTCTCACAATAATACTGACTGTGAACAAATATGTCTTATTCATATCTGTATTCCTAACACCAAACCACTGTGCAGAGTGCATAATAGGAATTCAATAAATGCAGGCTGAATGAATACAAAGGGAGGAGAGAAAGGGAAAAAATGCTGATTTTCAGAACCTTAGGAGTTTTAGTTAGTCAACAAGCATCTGTGCCAAGACGAGTAAGACACAGTCCCTGCTCTAGAAAAACCCACAGCATGGTGGGGAGAGACACAAATGAAAATGGACCCTGAGGCAGTGTAATCAGAGTCATGATGAGAAAGGGTCAGGAAATAACTGGGATGACAAAGGAGAGGATGGGTGTTGGGAAAGCAATCACAGGAGGTCACATGTAAGCAGGGCTTTACATAGGCGTTTGCCATTGTAGACTGCAGGGGACGAAACACAGGCCACTGCCCGAGGTATGTCTACATAGACAGGAGCCTCCCGATGTGTCCACATCCTTGTTCTAAAAGGTCTTCCAGGAGTCTCAGTGCTTAACCATGAAGTAACAGAATTGCTATATTACCACAATTCTCCTCTTCCCCTGCCCACTCACAGAGAACTTGATATCTGATAAGTGGATTACCAAGGACTCCACTTGCCTCCAGTTAGGGTAGTAGGAATAAGGGCCACATCTAAACAGTTCCCAGTTCCCAGACTCATCAGTGTCTGACATCTAAACAGAACCAGGCCAGACAATGGCAGTCACTTAGGACCCAGAGAAACTGCCCTTCTGTGGGCTCTGCCAAGATGCAAAGAAGCAAAAACCAATTTAGAAAGTGCTAAAGCTTTCCAACACCAGAGCCAAATATGAGAGCAGTCTGATGCATATGTAAATATGGACATTCTTTCTCAGAACATGAAGTCATAGCCCCAGAGCCGACTTCCCAAATGGGGACACTGGGCAGCCACCACACCTTCTGCAGCTTCTTAGCTCAGAGTGCCTGGGCACCAGCCTGCTGAGGAAGCAGAGCCACCTGGCAGGGGCCCTGGACACCATGAGCTCATAGACCTTCTCATTTTCTAATGTCTATGGTCGGAACAGGCTTTCTTTCTCCCCATCTTCTCAGAGAAATGAGAATAAGCTTGTCCATTTGTTTTGATTTACTACTTGCCTGCTGGCTTGGACTGAGCTGGAGAAATTCCACACGCACACCACACATGCTCACGTTTCTGCCCACCGCCCCACCCAGGCATACACATGCATTTGCACATGTGACACAGCCACAGCTTCCGGTGTCCCCGATGGTGCCCAACCTATTCCTACACCGATCACTTTATTCTCCTAGAACGGAGATGGCTCACTATGCCATTATCTCCATCAAGGCCCGTTCTGGCCTCTTAAATAGGATCAGAACTATCTATTCTCTGTCTAGTGCATACACACAACCCAGGGACACAACCCCCACCTGCAACAGTCAAGAGCCAAGCAGCACTGAGCACACCTTCTCATCCCCTGCCACATTCCCACCACCTTTATCCCTTCCTTCTAAACCTCCTTGTCTCTGAAGTTATTCCCTCAGCCTGCTCTTTTCTCCTCTTGGGTGAGTTCCCTTAAAAATGCAGCAGCTATGCAAATACTATAAGGCTGGGCCCTGGGGTTTCCCACAAGCTCTAGGCCCCTAGGCCCACAGTGAGGCCTATTTTCCTCAGCCTTCTGAGGAAGACTCTGTGTTGCTACCAAAGACAAACAGGAATGATGTTGGTTGTATAATATTCCCTCTCTTCTGGGGCAGGCTTCCTGTTCTCATTAAGAAAGACCATCATGGTTTGCATGATGAAAATTCAGCCGTAATCTCCATTTTCTAAAAGTCTTTTCCAACTTCAGTTTTAACTATTCTCAGACATTCTAACCTGTACACTCTCCCTGGGCTTTTTCCCACCTAGGGCTATTGCACACGTGATGCCTCTACCTGGAATGTTATGTCCCCTAAATTCCCATGGCTGGCTGCCCAAGTCTCCTCCCTATCCCCTGAACCCAGTTCCAATCCCTCTGCACCCTTGTTACTCTATCACATGCCCTGGTTTTATTTTCGTTTATTCGTAGTACTTACCACAATCTGAAACAACCCTGTTCATTTGTTTGTTTCTTTGTTTACTGTCTGTTACTCCCAACTACAATGTAAGCTGCAGGAAGACAGGCTCATTCACTGCCATCACCCTAGTGCCTAGAATAGCATCTGATACATAGCAGGCACTTTAATGTACATTTGCTAAATGAATGAATCCATTCCTGTAAATGAAAGTCTCAAAAACTTCACAAAGAGTGCCAATGGCTTTTCTCCGGGTCCCAGAAGACAGAAGGTGAATCTCAGGGTCCGTATGTTCCTATCTGTCAGTAGCCTCCTCGGCATCCCCATGTTTAGTACAAAAAAACCTGGGCTTCTCATTTTGAGGAAAACATTCATTCTTTGTTTCTCCAGTGCAGATCAAGACTGGCTAATTCATGAGGGTGACTTCTCTAAGGTTCCAACCAGAGTCCTCCAATCGACATTTGGCTTCCAGCTGCTTCTAACTCAACATTTTAAATGTTTTATTTGTGTCTGCACCTTATTGTTATCTCAGCCTCTCACTGTAAAGCATTTGAAAACATAAACACATGAACTTTTCTGGTATTAGAATCTGGGAATTCATCCAAATAAAGTCCTGGCCTCCAGTCAGGCCCTCACCCAAATCAAACAGGATTTCTCCCCAACTCTTAAAAGGTTTCGAGTGGAATCCCTTCCCTTCCAGCTCCTTCCAGTGTCGCTCCCTCTTTTTATTCTTCCCTCCAGGGGAATGCAGGCAGCTGTGATCATGTGCCAGCCTCAAATGCTTAAGAAGACTGGTGAGGGTGACATGCAGGGACACACACACACTGTCCTCACCAACGTAGCCGGGGGTCCCACAGGCGGTGGACATCACGTCTCCTTTGCCCTCCATCTTGGACAATCCAAAGTCACTGATCATTATTTTGGACTCCTCATCTTGACTGTAGTACAAGAGATTTTCAGGCTAAAAAGAAAATAAGAAAAGTATTTACAAACTGTGTTTAGAGCTGGTTAATTGTGGACTCACCAAACCACAAAAATCTATTCACTATTCAAAAATATACTTGACCTTTAGATGTAATGAATGCATTAAGAAAAGTGGTCTTTAATGAAGCACTGGAGAGGGCATTTACTGCTTTTCAATAAATGTTAGTCCTTGTCCCATTATTAATATTTTCCCTACTTAAAAAAATTAACCCCGTTTGGAGGCAATCCAGTGAAAACAGTAAGGTAAGCAGAGCTGCCATGCCAGAGGGACTGCCCTGCAAGGCTGATGCCTCAGACCTTGGAATGGTACCGACAGGGCAAAATAACCCCTGGACTGGACCTAGGGAAATGTGCACTGTATACAATGACAACAAGAAAGCAGTTCTTATGATGAATGGACTGAAAATTAAAAACATTATTGAGAATGAACATCCCTAAGTTATGTTACCAACAGAAACACCTTCCCTCTACTGATAGAGTTGTTCCCCTTCCCTAGCCTTTGTCTCCCAATCAGAACACGATCTGGGCTTCTGCCTGGATTAATGATACCCAAATACAAATATTCTCGTTGGTCTCAAATAAATACACGTTGCCTCTCCCTCTATTTTTAGATTAGCACTAGGACGCTGGGGATCTCAGACTTGTCGGTTCATTTCCTGGGTTAGGAGAAAGGGAGACCCAGAAATAAAATCACTTTTGCAGGTGTTATTTTGTTCTTTCACCAGACCCTTGTTAGCAACCTTTCTCTAACCCAAGGGTCGCTCCCCCTGCCCTCAGCAATGCCTGCCCGTGGCCCATGCCGTAGTTCTAGCAGATGTGCTCACTGTCCCCTTTCCTGAGCCAGCTGACACCTGCTTGTTCTGTCCTTGGCCAGCAGAGGGATGTCACCAGGGAATGAATGGGAGTTGGAAGACCCAGCACTTTCCAGCCATATGCCCTTAAGTACCCTGAGCTGCTGTTTGCCTTGCTGTACAACAGGAGTTGCAAGGTCGAGACAATGAAGCCTCATTTGCATAGCATTTTAAGTAAAATCCAGGAATCTCGGGGTTCCTGGCAAAGAACGGGGGCAGGGCTTGTGGAGACTGAGGGAGATGTGTCAGCCTCAGAGGGGTCCCTGCACTGCCAGGTTGAGACCTGAACACAGGGGCGCTCACTTTTTTTTTTTTGTCCATTCTGGAAAAGTTGTTCAATTAATGATGTTGTCACTGAGGGAGATAACGTCAAGGACTGACACCTCTGCTGTTGTCCAGTTATGTCTCCCCACCCAGAAAACTCTGAAACTATACCAACTGAAACATAATCATGTCCCTCATTTGTACCAAACCTTAAGGGAATGAAGCAGAAGAGTGCATTGAGGAACTCACTTGCCCATACATACCATTTCGGATCTGGGTTTCCTCCCAACCCCAGGAGTGAGGCAATATTCTCTCTTGTCAGTGGCTTGTGGTGAATATTTGGTTCCCAAGTATTGCATTTTAGGAACTACCCTTTTGTGGAGTGACATGACTAATTTAGAAAAGTGGTTCTCAGCCTAGCTGTGCAGCAGGATCAGCAGAGAGGGTACTGAATGGCTGGGGGATACTGTTCTTTGGTGGATGTGAGGTTGGCAAAGGCCTCTGGATTTTAGAATTCCTTTAGGGGAGGGGGATTCTGAGGTGCAATTGCTGCTGTGGAGAAATTGTGAGAACTGACCAAGACTCTTTTCTTGACCAAACCTTAGTCAGGCTCGTCTGAGCCTTCTTCTTGACCAGACCTCGACCTTGGCCTTCTGTGTCCCTCCTTGTCCTTGCTGGGCCTGCACAGTGCAGTCTTTGCCAGAATCCTGCTAAGTCAGTTCAGAGGGGATCCCTCACTCTTGATATCTGGTCAAGTTCTTCATCCCCACCCTTTGATGTAGTTAAAAATATTATTCAGACACCTGTTAATGATGGTTAGGAAGACTGTTCAGGGGGGTTACTGCAGTGGGGTTTGCAGTAGGGGAGAGGGACTGACCTCAACTCTGAATACAATAAGGAAAAGTGGAGATTTATAGCCAAAGGACAGGGTAGGGGTCAGTGGACAAAAAAAGTGGCTAAGAGGCAACGTCAAGGATAAGGGGGACTCTGGCTGCAGGATGGCTGGATATGGAGGGCAGGGAACAAGGCGTCTGATAAGATATGAAGGGTGGGGATTTCTGCTAAATCGTCAGGATTCTAAGACTGAACTAAGTGGGCAGAGCCAATGGACTCAAGGTAAACCCAAGGTCAGGACCTAGTCAAAAAGAAGGCTCAGGGTGTCCACTCAAGTTTGGTGAGTCTCCTTTGTCTGTCAGTGTGTAAGCGTTTGGCCTGCTTTTAGCAAGGATCCCCTTACCCTTGATGTCTCCTCTTAGTAGCTGTCTATCCATGACCCCTCACTCTGCTCGAGCATGTAAGTATTGCCCTCCTACCCTCACCTCCCTTGCTGAATTTGGAGTTTAGTTGGATTCTTTTCCATATTTTGATACTGGAACACCCTCTTACACCAGCCTTGAATAAAATCTTCCTTACCATTTAACAAGGGTCAGAACACTTGTTTTTCTTTAACAGAACCCCAATTTTTTTCCCTCTATACTCTACCCAAAATGACAACATAAAAAGAAATGGCATTGAACAGTCACTGCAACATTAATTCTGTGGATAAAGATGAGATCAGAAGAAAATCAGTGTATGATTTTGAGATGCGTTTTAAAAGAGAATAAAGTGGGCTAATGAATAGTCAAAATAAGAATAATGCTTAGAAAGTAGGGGTAATGATCTAATCAAAAGTGCATGTTCTCTCTGAATGCTTAGGGGTTACCCTTTGATGAACAGTAAGGGTGCAGAGAGCAGCTTTCTGCTTTTAAGTTCCCTAGTTACAATCTTTCTTGTCCCAGCACTTGTGCAGCTGTAAAGTTAGTGAGCTCCTGAATAAGGCTTTGTCCAGGTAGGAGATCACCAAACGGTCCAAAATCCTTCTTAAACATTCCTCCCACAGAAGATCCACTTCGAAGTGCTCTTTCAAAGGACAATTATCCCTAAGAAGGATTCAATGGACTGGTCATTCACAGTTAAGATCAATACCTTAATTGGCTCAAGACTAGTAAAGACAATAAGGCTTTTTGTTGGGGGGACAGGGAAGAAAGTGGGAGAGAGGACAGACTTCAGGGATAAGCTGGATGGAGGCCCCTGTGGGCATTAGGAGGGCTGTCAGAGGGGGTTGTGGTAGATGGGGAGATCTCTCAATTCTTCCTGGGGTCCTAGGAGGCTCAGGACTCACCTGAAAAATTAGCTTACTATATTTTATAGCATCTTTGCAAGACAATTGGTGGCCAATACATGAGTTGGAAGGTCAACCAACCCTTTAATATTCACATGACAAGCTATTAAAATATCTGGGTCAACACTTCCTGTAAAGTTAATGTTACACATAATCAACCATCTTCCTAATTCAATATGATGATTCTCAACTGGGGCCAACTGTGCACCCTAGGGGACAGTTGGCAATGCTTAGAGGCATTTTGGTTGTCACAACTCCAGGAGTGGTACTGGCATCTGGTTGGTAGAGGCCGAGGGTGCTGCTACACATCCTACAATGCACAGGACAGCCCCACCACAAGGAATGATCCAGGTCCCTGTGTCACTAGTGCAGGGCTGAGAAGCCATACCCTAATCTGAGGAGGCAGTAGTGGCCATTTCCTGTCTCAGTCTCTTATTTTGAAAAAAGAACAACTGATTGTATCTAGTAGTGTTCTGGGGCAAGAAGATACAACAATACCTTTCTGGAGGAAGAAGAAAGCATATTTAAATGTGGGGTGGGGAAGTATCGCAGAATATACCTTAGTCGTTTTTTCTTTTTAGTTTTTTTTTTTAAATCATCACCTGAGGATGTTGTTTTGTTTGTTTATTTGTTGTTTTTTTGTTGTTGTTTTTAGAGAGAGAGGAAGGGGGAGAGAGAGAGAAACATCGATGTGAGAGAGAAACATTGATCAGTTGCCTCCCAAATGTGCCCTGACTGGGGACTGAACCTGCAATCTTTTGGTGTACAGGATGATCCTCCAACCAACTGAGCCACCGGGCCAGGACTGTGCCTTAGTTTTAAATTAACTTGATCACCTTCTCCATCGCTGTAGCCTAAATAATATAGCTTGTTTTAATTTTCTCAGATGTTTATGAAAATTTAACATTAACTTCCTCCATATAGATCAAATTCCTTTGTGTTGTTGAAAAGAGATCACAAAAAGGCCCTAAAATGGAAATGTTCCTTCCACAATTATAAGCCTGGTGGGTGATCTTAAGCTCCATGGGCTGGAAGCTGCAAGTGTTTTACCAAAAGAGTTATGTGGGGAGTAAAAAATGATATCGCCCATGCAGCCAATCTGCCTTTCTATGGGGGAAATAAACACTGCCCCTCTGGGAAATGCCTTTCCTGCTTAGAAATTATTTCTAATAAGTATAGACAACCAGCCCATTACATCACATCTTCGTAGTCACCACACTAACTTGTTCAGAGATGGCTGCCTGCTGTGTACTGGAAGCATAGATTCTGGGTTTGGTGAGGGCATAGAGAGCAGAGGAAGCACTGTTGACTGGCATAGAAGTGCCAGCTAAATCATCTTCTCTATCTAGCCCTTACTTAGCCCTCAAGGATCTCCAGGTCCTAAGATTAGCTCATTGTGCTCACAGCCCATTTCACCTGCCAAGGAGCCTGCAAAGGCCCTGGCTAGTTGGTCAGTGGTTAGAAGGGTCTCAGGCTTAATTCCCCATCAGGGGCATGTACCTGGGTTGCAGGTTCGATTCCTGGCTCTGGTCAGGGTGCTTGCAGGAGGCAACCAATTGATGTGTCTCTCTCACACTGATGTTTCTCTCTCTCTCTCTCTCTTGCAGGTTTGACCCAGCCCCAGTTTGAGGCATGTGTGGGAGGCAACCAATCAATGTGTCTCTCTCACATCAATGTTTCTCTATCCCCCTTCCTCCCTCCCTTCCACTCTCTCTAAAAAATCATGGAAAAAATATCCTCGGGTGAGGATTAACGAAAAACCAACCAACCAACCAAACAAACAAAAACAAAAAGAAGAAGCCTGCAAAGGGTGACAGGTAAGGACTTGAGATATCCAAATACTCTCACCCAGCAGTTTTACAAGAGTGGTTCTCAAGCCAACATCAGCATTACCCAGACTCTCCTTATAAATGCAAGTACTCCGGCCCCACTGCAAACCTACAGAGTCAGAACGTCTGGAGTGGGGCCAACAATCTGTGTTTTTCCAAGCCCTCTAGATCAGCGGTTCTCAACCTGTGGGTCGCGACCCCTTGGCGGTCGAACGACCCTTTCACAGGGGTCACCTAAGACCAACCTGCATATCAGATATTTACATTACGATTCATAACAGTAGCAACATTACAGTTATGAAGTAGCAACGAAAATAATTTTATGGTTGGGTCACAACATGAGGAACTGTATTTAAAGGGCCAGAAGGTTGAGAACCACTGCTCTAGATGATTCTGATACAGATTGACATTTGGGAGCCATTAGCCTACTCAATGGAAAATGATAATATGAAGAGAAGAAGAGAAAACTTTACAGTGAGTGCTTATGAAAGGAAAAGCTACACCATTTTATACCTTGACTCCTGGTACCAGATAATGGGAGATATTGAAATTCCATTTTCACTCCTGCTTAGAATTTATTCTTTAAATTGGTTTAGATTTCTAATAGTTGTGTATATGGCTTCAGTGCAATATAATCCCTGTGTTTATGATATGAGTGGTGGGTATGCGTGCTGAGATAGAATTTCTACCTGGAAGGGTGCAGTGAGTACTGGGGGTTAGACCTGGAGCTGCTGTAGATGAAGCCACATTACAGCCTTGGGTCAACAATGCTGACTGCACTGTTCCTCAAAATGGTATGTTCATTATTTGCCCTTTGGTATTGACATAGACCTGGGGAGGAATGTATTTCCAAGGTGCCCAAATATGGCCCAGATCCTTCAGTGCTACTGAGTGAAGGGCAAGGATGTCAAAGCTCCACAAGGAAAAGATAAGAAAGGAACCCAGGACATTGTAGAGGCTGTAATCGCTATCTTTCCTGATAACCTTCCATTTCCCTTCTCTTTCATCTTCTGCCCTCTACCCACTCTCTCCTTTTTCTTTTCTTTTTTCTTTTTTTTTCATATAGTGTATTGTACTGAAACAGATGCAATAAGGAGAAGACTGGAGAACTGCACTGGAAGAAGGGTCTTTGTGTCCTTTGGGGATGTGCCCGCAACCAAGGTACATGCCCTTGACCGGAATCGAACCTGGGATCCTTCAGTCCACAGGCCAACACTCTATCCACTGAACCAAACTGGTTAGGGCAAAATTACCTTTTAGATAGACTTCAATCAATTCATAATGTAACTCTTGGTTGCCCTTTGGCAGCATGACTATAAAATCTCCCAGGCAATGGCCAGCCCGACTCATCTTCATCCTCCTTCAAGCTACTTCTGAGTCACAAAGTCCCAGATGACTAACAGTACACAAGTGCCCACCATTATTCCACCCATATCTACATCAAAGCAACCCCATCCCTCCTCTGGAACCAATCCTCTTGGGCAGGTATATTATGAGTTGGAGAGCAGCTGAAGGATGTTGTTAAGCAATGGCCTCACCTTGAGGTCCCTGTGGACGATGCCCATTCTATGGAGATAGTAGACAGCATCCAAGACCTGGCGGATCAGAGTGCTAGCATCTTTCTCTGTGTAAAATCCCTTCTCCACTATTCGATCAAACAACTCTCCACCGGACACACTGTTAAAAAAAAAAGAAAGAAAGAACAAATGAGAAGTTTGAGAGGAGCTGTTGAATTATTCAGGGACAATCATGAGTAAAGGCTTTCAATATGGTAAAAGACCCAAATTTTATTTCATAAATGAATCCATTTTCAGAGTTAGAGATTTTGTCTCCTCTATTCCCCAGTAGCTCTACTAAGGAAGTGTTTCTATGTTATGGTGGTATAAATGTCCAGAGTGAAATAAAGGAAATAAAAATAAGCCAGGACCCACAGACTTAGCCAGGCTTGTCAGGTCTCCCCTGGCCTCTGCCTCCTTGCTGCTGTGACAATGTAAAGTCAGGATAACCTTCAGAAACGTCAGCATCATCAGATACAGGGAGATGATGCTGGCAAAGATGTCTCCCTCACACAGACAGTATCCTTAAAGGAACCAGGTGGGGGGTGTTGTGGGCAAAGCATGGAGCAGCCAGCAGGATGTCTGGGCTTTTGACTGAGTTATGCTCCTAATATGCTGAGTGTGTGAGCATTCCTTGAGTCTTTAAACCTCAGTCTTTTTATCTGTAAAATGAGAGTGTTAATCTAGGCAACTATTTCCAACAGAGGTTAGGGGGATGTTCTCAGAGGCTGGTATCAGAGCCTGAAAGTCACATGTGATTTACAAAAAAAATGGGGGGAAAATTATACTCTATTACATTGCTTTGCTTTGTCCCCCACCACACTGCCTTTGGTGATAATATTTTATGTTAATTTGCTTTGAATTTCAGATTGCATTAAATATATTTTTCATATTATTACAGATCTGGGGGAGTGGGTAGGGGCTGGGAGAATGGGGGCAAAGAGGGGTAAACAGGAGACATCTCTAATGCTGTCAACAATAAAAACTATCCATTAAAAAAAGAGGGGCCTACACAAAGAAAGAACTGTTTGAAAAAGGTCAAAAACCTGGTGAACAACTTCCATAGACCCTTTCATTTTGATATTTGATGCTACTCTGAGTTTAACAAAATAACAGAACTATACAATCCTGAATAGAAATAACTCAACTAACACCTTAGCCTTCCAGGCCTTAGAATATATATTTCACTAAGAAAACAGTACTTCTTTCAAATAATTAAGCCATCTTAGAAATTAGCTTCAAGAGATATATTAACACCATTTTTTCTATAAAAAAGAAACAAATTTTCCAAATTCAAAATGAAAAAGATTTATTTGAAATATTAAGGGCATAAATACTAAGTTTCATAAATAACTTCTACAGCTTCAATAGAGTTAAGGCATGCTCTGGCCACACCACACACACATTCACAAACACTCAAGGCTATGGTTCATTTCCTGCAAGTCATGGCAATTAATGTGCAATGACTAAACCACAGATACCTAAACACAATTGCAGTTGTAAAGGCCTACGTGTTATCTACGGTCATTCCAAGAGATGTTGTACTTGGATAATGTCTTGTTTCCAAAGCAAACTAAGCAATCTAGATAAGAAAGGGAAGATGCTCTGGAGAAATAAAAAGCAATAGAAAGAGTGAAAAGAAATTGAAACAACTGGGGAGAAACTACATTTTGGTGATTATATTGTTTAAACAATCCCTCCTTAGGTAAACCAAAATCCCAAAATGTCCTCTCCTGGCAACTGACACCACATTCTCACCAGTCTTCTTTTTTTCTAGAACCTTCTTCCAATGAGTTTCAATGTCTGAAACTGCAGAGCTTGAGGATGTAGGGCAGATGTACTGCTACCAGGGGCAGGGTGAGTGGGTAGATTCACTTGACTTAATCACTTATTTGACTATTCATTCAACATTCTATGCCAGCTGCTGTGCATGGTTGGTGCCAATCAAGGCAGCATTAGCTATGAAGGAGGAAAGTCTGTTTAGACTGTGCCCCTCCTCATTCTCTAACATCAGCCCACCCTCCAATAATGGCATGGCATATGAGTGTGCCAGTGCTTTCTTACCACTCATATGCCTGCTACTCACTCCTCTGCTCTGAAAGCTGCTGGAGGACCTCAGGGAAGATTGTTCACCCTTTCCTCATCCCACCCTACCCTTAGTACTACATGGCCCACACTGCCAGGTCGTCTCCTTCCCTCAAAACTGATCTTTCCTGCTTCCCATTCTCTCAAAGTTCCCTTTTTTGTTATGTAATCTATAAGGTGTTAATATATTCTATTGAATAATAATATTTACACACTGCAATAGGGTAGCAATACAGTAAGAATTGGAGCTTCAGAGTTGAAATGTAAGATACTGCTGTAGTATGTATTGTCACAGAGTCCCAATTCTCTGCACATTTGCTATTTCCCTTATTCAATTTCAAATTGCACCAGATCTTTATTTTTCTGAACATTGCTCAGAAAAAATCTGGTTTCCTTAGAAACCAAGGCACTGGGGAAATGTTTAAAAACTTGCCAATAAAAAATGTAACAAGTACTAATAAAAATACCTTAAATTTGCAAATCATTTTATGCTTTTCAAACTCTCCTTAAGCATTCATTGCAAAGGCCTGAATGTTTATCTCCCCCCACAAATTCATGTGTTAAAGCCCTAACTCCTAAAATGATGGTATTTGGAGGTGGGGGCCTTTGGGGGTGATTAGGTTTAGATTAAGTCATGAGGGTGGGGCCCCCATGATGGGATTAGTGACCTTATAAGAAGAGGAAGAGAGACCAGTGCTCTCTCGCTCTCTCTCTACTATATGAGGACACAGTGAGAAGGCGGTTGCTTGCAAGCCAGGGAGAGAGCCTTTAACAGGAACTAAATCTGCCAGCACCTCAATGTTGAAATTCCCAGACTCCAGACTTGTGAGAAGTACATTTCCATTGTTTAAGGCACCCAGCCTCTGGTATTTTGTTAAGGCAGTCTAAGCTAACTAGACAACCACTCATTTTCAAAACTGCTTGTGAGCAACCAGAATCCCAGAATCACTAATGAGGAAATAAGTTTGGACTTGTGAGGGTCATGTCTCATTTCTAGGCCTAGAGACCATGGTTGGCGGGCTGCTGATCTGAAAGACAGGTTACTCTCTAATCCTTCTATAGCAAGCTTCCTGTGTGCATGGAGTCCTAAATTTAAAAAAATGCAAAGCATTAGAATATATATAGATTAAGAGAGAAGACAAAGACATGATTCAAAAATTCTCTACTCTTCTCATGTCAAACTTTGACATTGATTTAGAACAACCTGCCTTTGCAAACCATTTTGTTCTTTACATGCACTTGAACTTCCCCATCTAATTTTGATAGGTATCATCTTCTTACTTTAAAAGTTACTGCCAATTTTAACTTAAAATGTTTTAGGTCTTATAACAATATCCTCCACACATTCACTACAAGATAGTCCTTGTGCTAATAATGAAAACTGGGGTCCAAAATCTATTTCTCTAGAAATTATATATAATAAAATAAAATGAGGGCTGAAGAAAACCAGCATATGTCACCCCAAAATATGCCTCTTTGACATAAAAATTATTCTGAGCTAAAGACAAATTAAGAAGCAGAGAAAGCTCCCCGCCCCCACCACCACTTGTCTAAAGGCAATAAATAAATTCCCTTTGTATTGGAGACAGACTTTTACCAGCCCAGAGACAAAACCAGAAAAAAGGCAAACAAACCTTATTATCTCACCATTATCTTCCTAGTTATTTCTTCATCACTTACTACCCCTGCTCCAAATCCCTTTATCTTCTCAATTCTTCACAAATGTATTATCTGTCTACTCTATAAGGTATAAAGCTTCCTGCTCTAGTCACTTCTTCAGGTCTTCGTTCTCGTGTGAAGGCTCCCAAGTACATGTAAAAACTCAATACAATGTGTATACTTTTCTCCTGTTAATATGTCTCTGTCAGCTTAATTTTCAGACCCCACCAAGGACCCTAAACGGGTTGAGTAAAATGTTTTGCTCCCCTATAGGGCCAAAGAGTACAGCACTGTGCTTTTAATTTCAGACGGAACAATCTGAGAATTATTAGCAGTGATGCTGGGATAATAAAAAGGCAGTGTTACAGCAAACTTGCCTTTAAATTCACAAAGGCTCACATAACCAGGCAGCAAAAGAATAATAGAACCGGGTGACACGAATACAAGAGCAATGTGGTCTTAATGTGCCCCAGAGCTAGGCTGGTTATAAATGTGTGTTTGCTAAGAACCATCTCCCCTATTTACATTTATTTAGTCCTAAGGGAAAGGTACTCTTGAAATATGCAGGTTGTGATTAAGAGAGATTACAAGCAAAGCATTTTCCAATGTGAAACCTCAAGGCCCAGATGACAGATATGTACATTTTTTCACCCAGCCTATAGAGAGAAATAATCTATCTTCTCAGTCTTTCCCTCAATCAAGTCCCAACTTGGCAGCCCTGGGATCTCCCCGCTCCCATGCAGGGCAGTGGCCCTGCCTGTCTCCCAGGCCCTTACCCTTAATCCTCACTACATCATTTGGCTTTGGCATCTGTACACTCTGCTCCTGGGGGGACTCCCCATCCACTCTGAGAAGATTAAAGCTTTATTTCATGGAACCTCTGCCTTCAATATTTTTCCCCTTCAATAAATCCTACTTCAATAATAAAAATATCTTTATTCTTAGAATTCAGTTTCACAATATCTTCCAGGCCTCAATCTGTTCAGAAATTTCCAAAACACAAACACATGCCTCTTCCTTTAATAGACCAGACCAATTTAATTCCTTGTGTTCCAGTATGCTTTGATTCTGGCTGTTCTGTCTTCTCAATATCTGGGGTGTTAGGGGCTGAATTGCATTCTCCCCACAATTTCATATGTTGAAATTACAACATATTTGGAGACAGAGCCTTTAAGAGGTAATTAAGGTTAAATAAGGTCATATGGCTCCATACTGACTCCTTCCTGAATCCCTTGCTGACCCCCTGCAGCTGAAACTTCCTCAGCTGAATACTCAGTTCATGCCCCCTCCCCTCACCCAACCGCAGTATAAAAAAAGCGCCCCCCTCCCTGTTGGCGTGAATCCACGTGCCCTGTCCTTGGGGTACGTGGGTCTCCC